AGAGCCATTTGGAGATATAGCTAAAAGAAACCCTGATTTTAACCATTATAATTATATATCCGAGCATAGAATAAGGAGATCTTGAGCTACCTTTGTCAACAAAGTTTGCATCGTATATGATACTCTGTATGATACTATATGATACTCTGTATGATACTATATGATAATATATGAAACTATGTATGATACTATATGATACTCTGAATGATACTATATGATATTGTATAATACGATATAATACTGTATGATACTATATGTAACCATAATATTATACTATACTATACTATATGCTACTATAATATTATAGTAAATTATACTGTACTATACTCTACGATACTTTAATATTATACTTTACTATATGATACCATATGCTACTGCATGATTACTATATGATACTATAATATGATGCTATATGATATCATACTGTATGATGCTATAGTTTGTGATATTATTCTATATGACAATATGATGCTATACCGTATGATACTATACTATATGATACTGCATGATAAGATACTATATGACACTAAAATATGATACTATATGAGGCTATATACTGTATGACACTATACTGTATGAAACTATACTAAATGATACTAAATTATGCTATAGGATACTGTACAATATAAAACTATATGATAATATGTCGACATGCGCGAAGTATGGAGGCGGGGCATCATGAGCTCACACTACTCACAGCATACACAGGATTGCTGAGAATCATTGCTGAACAATCCAGTTCTATAAATGAATTGGATTTGAAAAAGTATTACCAACATGTCGGCTCTTTAAGCTTGCCAGACGTAGGTTTATCATCCAACACGCCATTATAGCGATGGCGACGAGCTGTCCAGCTCTTGGCGATGTTGCATCCGGTCAAGGGTGACCAAATACAAACAACAACAACTGTATCACTTTCGGTAAAAATCTTTCAATACAGGTAAAACCATATGTCAGTTAGCAGCGGGTTTCGGGTGCTATTGTCATGTCAGGTGGTGCATTTCAATGACACGTTCGGCCGTGTTGTCAACGTATTTTGTCACTTTATGTGTCATAAATGTGTCATAAATGTGTCAGGTGCTAATAAGGTGTCAGGTGTTATAGCCGCGCCCCTGTGTTCTAACCCTGTCAAGGTGTCGTAACCGTGTCATCACGTGCTACAGGAGTTAGAAAAGGTGTCCACTGGTTCTAACCATGTCCAGTCAGGGCCGGCGCTTATAGGAGGGTGCGGGGCCCTTGTGCAAATTGAATTTGGCAGGGCCGTTGACGTTATATATTCCGCCGATAGGATGTTAAGACACGTGACAGTCGTACTGGGGCCTTGCCGGTCATAATGGGACGCGTCATAACGGATATCGGTTCACTCGCTTAGTTTCGCCTTCAGACCATTTGACTAGCTAATAACTATGAATATTGTGTTGACTGGATTAGGAACTGGTAGTAGGCTTAGGTATATAGTAAATATACTAGGCAACGCCCACTTCGTCATCCCCTAACGCCGGCCCTGGTCCAGTGAAAGAATACAATATTTTCAATAGTTTGTAGCTCCGAAGTTTAAAAAAAAATTCAATAAAATGTGAACCCCAAATTGGGTTTTTTCCCCCGTATCAATAAGAAAGGTTTCAATCATTTGCCAAAAATAGAATTTGATTGAATTGTACAAACAGGTCGTTCCATCATAGTGATCATTATATTGTGATCATGTGAGGAGATGGAAAAAGAGAATTATAAGTGTTAAGTTTGTCGTGAAGCGTTAGGTGATGCAGAGTTGGGTGATGAAATGTAAGTAGTAAGTAGTACTTTTATACAACATTATTACAAAACTTCTTTCCTAACTTTTTGAAATACAAACTATGGTGTTGCTGGGGTGGGGGAGGTTTGGGGTGGGGGTGGGGGAGGTTTGGGGTGGGGGTGGGGAGGTTTTTAAATAAGAATTTTGTATTATCTGACATTCTAGGTAAACTACAATCACTCATTCACTCATTCAATCGCTCCCTCGATAAATCGCTCACTCAATCACTCACTCACTCAATCACTCACTCACTCAATCACTCACTTAATCACTCAATCAATCACTCAATCAATCACTCAATCAATCACTCAATCAATCTCTCAATCAATCTCTCAATCAATCTCTCAATCAATCTCTCAATCAATCTCTCAATCAATCTCTCAATCAATCTCTCAATCAATCACTCAATCGATTAATCAATCTCTCAATCAATCTCTCAATCAATCTCTCAATCAATCACTCAATCAATCTCTCAATCAATCTCTCAATCAATCACTCAATCAATCACTCAATCAATCAATCAATCAATCAATCAATCAATCAATCAATCAATCACTCAATCAATCAATCAATCAATCAATCAATCACTCAATCAATCACTCAATCAATCACTCAATCAATCACTCAATCAATCACTCAATCAATCAATCACTCAATCAATCACTCAATCAATCACTCAATCAATCACTCACTCAATCACTCAATCAATCACTCAATCAATCACTCAATCAATCACTCAATCAATCAATCACTCAATCAATCAATCAATCAATCACTCAATCAATCAATCACTCAATCAATCAATCACTCACTCACACACTCAAACTATCAATCAATAAATCACTCACTCACATACATGTACACAAAAATATATATTTCCTATAATGTGAGACATATTAATGTTGTAGGGGAAGAATCTACGTCATGTGAGGAATGTCCCGTGTGAGGGGAATGTTCTATGTGAGGAATGTCCCGCATGGGGATTTTTCTTTGTGCATAATCTTCGGGAAAGTAATAATTGTGTTGGGGGGGGGAGAGGGGGGGTTCTTTGGGGGAAATAATTCGTTAATCATATGATTGTTCTAGGACAATCTCAGCGACGTGTAACTTTTCCGTTAGCTCAGTGCCGTAGCCTTGAGGGAGGTG